TGTTTTTTTGTTTGGGGTTTTTTTTCTGCTCGGAAAAACACGCATGAGTCTCCGGCATGTCTGCGTTAAGAGTTGTGGTCTGCCGAACGCTTTGCAGGTATGCCTCCGCGTAAAATGAGCAAATGTGTCCCAAATCATCGTTATATTCCAGTCTTTCCAATTGCTTCGCGTAGCATTTCCACCCGCATTAGTTAAACATGAAGGAATGCCTTTTTTTGCTAAAGGTAATAACCTGCACTCTGGCATTTGAAGCTTATAAATTCAGGCAGCGATTTCATAGCTCGGACAGTTATTCTACTCGGTTATGGGCTTGGTTTGGGAGGCTTTTTTACGGCCGTGTGAAACTTTACACTGACATGGAAAAGGTTTCTGCTTAGCATGGAAGAAATGCAGAGCACTTTGTCCATGTGACCTTCACAGATTTACCGCCTGGATCATAAATGGAAGGGGGTTGTCAAATCAAAGGAAAAACTAACCCATAAACGGCTCTGGTCCCCGAGGTGTATTTAAACCAGAACAGCTACATTCACTTCACCTTTGAGTCCATCAAAATCTTTCAGTGATCCCATATTGCTGCATGGGAGGTCTCTGGGAGAAGCTGGAGTGGGTAGATAAAGCTGATCAACCTAAGCTGATTCCTATTGATCTGCAGTGAGCCATCAATCAAAGCAGACTCAGCCCAGTCCAGTGGAGACCCTCCCAGGGCATAGCAGAGCCACCAGATCCCCTCAGAGGCTGGGTCAAACTTGTTGCACACATTCACTTGTCAGGAACTTGATGAAGGATGGCTGCGCTGACTGTATCAGCTTCTTTTCACACCTCTGTGGACCAGCGCGCGTGCTGTTTGGAGCCCTGAATTCTCAGAAGTCAATCTATCGTAAAAGTGTGGGGAGTTATTATTATTATTATTATTATCATTATTATAGTACCTCTTGATTATTAAAATGATCATAATGTCAAAGAAAAAAGTTCTGTGATTGCAGTTGAGATATTACGGTGTTAGACCTCAGCTCATAAATGGGGGTTATTTTTGACATTTTCTGTAATGTTTTATTTTGCCTAGTTATTCAACAATTCTACTCTTTCATACAAATGAATCTGCCTCATTGAATGAGATTCTTCTTGTTTAAGCAGGTCGTTTGATGCTGTTTTTTGTACCAAAGAGGAATGAAGGCTCTCATTTTCTTCCAGCTTCAGTAAACAACGGCTGAGAATGACCATCCCCCGCGGGTCAGAAGTGCTGGCCAGAGGCTTCTCTCAGGCTGGAAACTGCAGGAACACGCTGAGGTGGGACCTTTCTCCAGACGAGATCAAGTCCATGACCAACAGCCTGATTGCCAGAGTAAAAAAAGTCTACGACGAGATCGGATCTCTAAACGTGGAGAACGTCTCAGTCGAGAACACGCTGGAAGCCTTGGCTGGTGCCAAGCTGGACTACACATGTAAGTTTCTGAATGATAGGTGTTGTTCAAGCGGGAAAACAGACATTCCCTGACAAGTGAGGGACCGATCACCTTTAAGTGTATTTCAGATAATCTGCCTCTGGAGTCCAAATTTTAATCTGCGAACATCTTGTTTTTGTTAAACCAAAAGTCAAACCTAAAGCTGTTGATTTATTAAAATGGTTGCTTCTTTATTTTCCATCAATCCCCACGTATGAAGTAAGAAACTAGTTTTCTTAGACATTTTATTGCACCAGTAACAGATAGGACTAATTCACTGCTCTTTTAGTAAGCTTCCCGTTCTAAAACCCTTTTCTCTCTTAGCATCACGGCATGTTCTGGACTTCCCTCAGTACGTTTGTCCCAACAAAGAGGTTCGATCCGCGAGCACAGAGGCGGACAAGAAACTGTCGGAGTTTGACGTGGAGATCAGCATGCGGCAGGACGTGTTCAAGCGCATCACTGCCTTACAGGTACAACTGATGTCCCAGTCAGCAGAATGTACCTATCACTAACATCAAAGGGAGGTTTCTACCAAAAGATGGCCTCTTCTCCACAAAGCCAACGATGATTACGAGGTCTGTGATGTGATGGGCTAATGAAGCAGGTACTACAACGTTATATTAAGATCAAGGATTCTGTGGCGTCATTTGAGCCGGCGGCTGGTTCTTATTTAGCCTGGGAGTGAAATGTAATCTCTTGTTACCAGAGGCAGCCAGTCCCATGTAGGGTTTGATGTAGCAGGCTAACATTTATTTTAAATCTATAAGTAGATGTTTTTCTAGAAACGTATTTTTACATGTACTGAATAAATTTATACGACTGTTTTCACAGATCAAACTTCAAGACAGCCTTTCATCTGAGGAGAAGAGATTCTTAGACAGACTTGTTACGCTGGGCCAGAGGAAAGGACTGCACCTGTCTGCTGATATCCAGGAGGTAGGTGTGTTATTATTATTTATTATTTTCTTATATATATTACCTAAGTATTTCTTATATATATTACCTAAGTATTTCAGATTGTCACTATTCTTGTTCTAAATATATTGGTATACTAAAATGTTATTTTCTTATAGATTATTTAGACTTTATGAAAGAAAAAAATTGGTTAATTTTATTTTTATTTGGTCTAAGATAAATAAACCAAATTATTTTAATATATATATAATTAAAACACATTTAATTTCAGTTCAATCTAAGTGAATAGCATTGGTTGGTTTGAATTTTTTGTAGAGATTTACCATTCTTCTAGTTTTTTTAGTTCACACAGCACCCTGCTTTACCCTGTTTTTTTGGAAACTGGGATGCTGACTGTTAGAGGATGAGGATGCTGATAAATGTATTGGCTGATTGGTAAACAAGTGTTTTATAGTTTGTGTCATGTTGATGCCCATGTGTTCTCGTTACATAACAGAAACAGAATGATATTCTCTGGCAATCTTCTCTCATGCTTGCTGTGTTCTTTTCTTACCCAAGGAAGTCAAAAGAACCTCCAAGCTCATCAGTGAACTCTCCATAGAGTTCAACAAGAATCTGAATGAGGACAACACATTCCTTGTTTTTTCTGAGCACGAATTGGGTTAGTTTATGAGCAGAAATCACTGTCTGATCCAGAACTGCAGGAAGCATTTTAAAGTCTGCTGTCTGTCGTGTGAAGGCGGGCTGGCTGACAGCTATCTGAACGGGCTGGAAAAGACAGACGAGGGTCGGTATAAAGTGACACTCGAATATCCTCATTATTACCCACTGATGAAGAGGTGTCACAATCCTGAAACGAGGAGGAAGATGGAAGCAGCTTTTCACAGCAGGTGTAAAGAGGTGAGTGATGTCACTGAATCCTAAATCGTTTTATGAAGGCGCTTCTCTGTAGGAAGTTGCATCTGCGGTCCATTTTATTTAGATCAGTCTGTGTTTCTGGGAAGGTTTATGGAGCCTTTCACTCTGATTATGGTCTTGTATAAAATTCTTTAGCTGCCTCTAATTTGTTTATTTTTGTCTTCTGAGGAGCCAGATTTTGTTTTTCAAGTGGTCTTTAGACAGAGTTCTTCTGGGAACAATGGTGATTACTGACCTATGATTAATCCACATCTAATTTCAAGGGATGAACCAGAACCACTGTCTACACATAACAGACAAAGACCCTTTTGAATTTGTATCTCTGTGTGCTTTGTTGCTCACAGCCTGTAAAGGACACACAATTTGTTGGATATTCTTTTTATTGCATCCCCAAAATAAAATAGGGTGATCCAAATAAGTCAGTTGAAATTCAATTACTGATTATTTTTCTTCCTTTATTCATTTTTAATCAACGTCAGCCTCAATTTCAACTGTGTATCGAGTTGTAAAACTACAAAGCAGACATTTCCTGTTTGTGTGGCATCTGCTGAGAAGCATGGGGGTGTTTGTTGTGATACAGGTTGGTTTGACTTGTGGTTATGCATGAACACACAAAATTACACAAAATACACATTCTCTTAACAGCACTTCTGTTTGAAATTAGAGCAAAAAGTACTGACGAAGCAGGTTTTCTCCACAAAGTAACAACTTCCACACCATCTAAGGCATGAAATAACTGTGCTGATGTTAATGGCATGATTGAAAAAGAGTCGTCATCAGCTGTGAGCACAGATGTCTCCACTCTCCAAAAGACCTCAGCAGCTGCTGTGGTGTTGTGTTTCTGACGGTCTCCGCTCAGGAAATGTTGGCTGCTCCGAGCATTCTCAGACCAGTCATGTTACACTGCGCTGCAGCAGCAGCAGCAACCACAGATCTCCCGCAGTAAACCAGAGCTGCAGCCGAGACGATTAGAGAGCTCGGTAAATTGGTTCTCGGTCTTTATCGTCTTCCATTTTCGGTCTTGTCTTGTTTCCCAGGTGAACACCGTGATCCTTGAACAGCTGATCCGACTCAGGGCAAAGGTCGCAGCCCTGCTTGGTTACAGTAGCCATGCAAACTATGTGCTCGAGATCAACATGGCCAAAAATGCGAGCAATGTGTCTGACTTTATAGGTATGGCCCCTCTGACATCTCACCCCGCACACGGACACAAACGTACTGAGGTTCTCACAGCTGTTTGACGTGTTCAGTATTTTTAAGATGCAACATGACCACAAAACAAATAAGGATTTTAACACCATACTTAGCTGATTTTGAGATGATCTCTAATACAGTAAACATTATTTAGTATGCTGCCAGCAGTGGGTAAAAGTTTTGGTCTGTGAGTAAGGGTGATTTGGGGGATTATGTCATGAAATTCAATTTTTCTTTACAAAAGATGTAAATGATGAAAAAGATTGTGGACAAAAACAGACTCCCTCCCTCAGGCATGAAGATTTTGTTTTTCTTCCCTGAACAGATGCATTCTATGACAGACTGAAGCCGATTGGAATCAAGGAGAGGAAATATATCCTTGCATTGAAGAAGAGGGAGTGCTTAATGAAAGGCCTCCCATTTGATGGGCAGATCAATGCCTGGGACCTGCCCTACTACATGAATCAAGTGGAGCAGTGCAAGTTTGCCGTGAACAAGGACAAACTGATCGAGTATTTTCCTCTGGAGGTGGTGACAGAGGGACTGCTTGGTATCTACCAGGAGCTTCTGGGGCTCACCTTTACCGAAGTGGAACACGCTCACGTGTGGCATGAACATGTCAAGCTGTATTCAGCCCATGACACAGAGACGGGGGAGGAGATTGGGCAGTTTTACATGGACTTGCATCCAAGGTAGCCCCATCAGATTCATGTCATTCTTCTCGTGAAAATATTCAGACTGAACACTGACTCTGACTCCAGGGAAGGGAAATATGGCCACGCAGCTTGCTTTGGGCTCCTGCCCGGCTGCAGGGGACCTGATGGAAAACGCAGGCTTCCTGTGGCGGCCATGGTGGCTAACTTCACCAAGCCAAGAAAGGGCTTTCCCTCCCTCCTGCAGCACCATGAAGTGGAGACGTATTTTCACGAATTCGGTCACGTCATGCACGAGCTCTGTTCCAGGGTAAGCCACTGTAAAAAAAAAAAACCCAACCTGAACTTTCACTGTCTCTGAATGGCATCGTTTGACCATCTGGATTAATTAGGTTTGACTTTCTCTGTGTGCATGAGTCAGACCACTTTTTCAGAATTCAGTGGAACTCTAGTGGAGACAGACTTTGTAGAAGTGCCATCCCAGATGCTGGAAAACTGGGTTTGGGAAAAGGAGCCTCTCAGAAGAATGTCTCGTCACTACAAGGATGGAACGCCAATCCCAGACGACCTGCTTGATAAACTAATTGCCTCCAGAGTAGCGAACACTGGTCAGACAATGAAATTCTCAAAAGAATGTTAATTTTTCTCTTTGGCATTTGCACACTAGCTTGGACACGTGATTCACTCTCAGTAAACATGCTCGCCTCCTGTTCAGGTATGATGAACCTGCGCCAGGTCGTCCTCAGTAAAGTGGACCAGTCGTTTCACTCCAGCTCTGGGTCAGACACCACCCAAGTGTTTGCAAAGCACTGCCAGGACATTTTGGGGGTCCCTGCCACACCAGGTCTGTTGCAAGATTACCAACAAACACTAACCAAAGAAATAAAAAACAAAGTTTTTAGGCCTATTTTTTTATATATGTGGTTCATGTGCGTATTTTTGTCTAATCTGCACTTTTTTGTTGTACCTTGTATTTTATTTCTTCACGAGGAGGCCAGCTCTGATTGATAAAACACCAGCTTTCCCACAAACACAGTTGGTGAATTACTTGCAGGGTCTTTAAAATTTTGACCTTATGGAACTTGAGCCATGTGCCTTTATTTTTCATGAATTCAGCAAGTAAACTGTAATCGACATTAAGGTTTCATTCAAAGTGCACGTCAGCATCATGATGTAAATCCGGTTTGTCGTTCAACTGTGCATGTAAATTAGGTTGGGGAAACATTTTGGGAGGCAAGCCTGGCTTGGTCAAACTGGCCGAGTAGGAAAGCATGAAAGACTTGAGAGAAGTACAAACTGTAAAATGTGTTTTTTTCTTTGCAGGCACCAATATGACCGCGGGTTTCGGTCACTTGGCTGGAGGATATGATGGCCAGTACTACAGCTATCTGTGGAGTGAGGTCTACTCGATGGACATTTTCTTCAGTCGATTTAAAAAGGAAGGCATTATGAATCCAAAGGTAGATTTTATTGTTTTATTTATTTGTGTTTTATGTAGAAGTGTCCTGATGAGTTTGTTTGCTGCTTGACAGGTTGGAAAAGAATACAGGAGGGTGATACTGGAGGCCGGTGGCTCCCTGGATGGAATGGACATGCTGAAAACCTTCCTGGGCCGTGAACCACATCACGAAGCCTTCTTTCAGTGCAAAGGACTAAATAAGTCACAGGAAACACTGCCATCGTAGTTCTGTTTACAATTTCTGAAACATCTGGAGATGCAAACTAAAATGTAAACTAAAAAAAGTTCCACAAGAGGCATATAATCTATTCAGGCCTTCAGTAAAGATAATACATGTGAATAGTTTGTGGATTTGTCATCAAATTTCAGCGACAACTTTGTGCAGAAGGGTCAAGACTGAAAGCCAACCAACGTTTACGCTAAGATGTGATGGTCTGCAGCACCAAAACTACAAATGTTTTAAAGCTTTGCTGAAATAAGGGACTTTGGTATCCAGCTATATCACGTGTGTGCCATATCTGCATAAGTTAGAAAAATCTAAAGTCTAACCGTGTAACAGAAGTTATATTGTAAAGAGAGAAAACAAGGCACAGTTTAACACATCACTGCCTCAGGCTGATCAGACTGTGTTATTTATCCACACAGATCCTGGTTAGCATGACTGTACAAATATGGATAAACAAAGTATGCCTAGTGACATGACAGTGTCATGGAAAATCATCAGTGTAACAGCAGCTTAGTGTAAACAAAACCACTGTTAAAAATAAAGCTGTTTGCTGTGACAAAGGCAGATATTGTGGATGCCCAACTGATGGAACTGAGCCCCTGTTGTCCACATTAGTTTAACCCTAGACTTTCCTGTTATCACAATTAAAAATGCTGTCATAAAAGTAGGCATTAGTAGGAAAGTAGTAGCTCCATACCAAAACCCTGATGTTGGAAAAGCTGAGTGGCATTCAAGCATCATTAACTTAATTATTTACACTAAATTCCTCAACCTTTTGAGCAACGCTACTTTGTTTTGCAACTTTCTACTTTGTGTATGAGAGTATGTTATCAGTGCATCACAGATAGGAAATTATTTGAAAAACACTGACAGAGTTGAAGACAGTGAAAGCAGCAGCTGTACTTGAAGTACCTGGTACAAAAGGCACAGTTCTGATCTTACATGAATCACCAGGTAAACCTTTTACCTGTTTTTTTGTTTCTTTAAAGGGGCCTTTTCTCAGAATAAAGAGAACAAATTGAGTAAATACACAACAACACACACACATAAATATATATATATATATAGTCATTCATACAAATGTAATTTGATTGCCAATCATTTTAAATTTAAATAGATTAAAATGTAATTAAAGATTAGTTACGTTTTCTTGGTGTGTCCGGATCTAAAATCTTTATTTCCACCAGGGGGCACCACAAGATAACCGTTTTTAGAATTGTAAATAGTAACTCAACCATTGTAGTGATCTAAATGGGATTAATGAGAAGGGAAAAGGTGTTGTTGGCTTGTTTGTACGTTTACAGGTTGCAGTCTGCTTATATCTTGTCGCTCAGTCGAAAAAAGGGGGGGAATGCCGTGGCGTCGATGGGCTGGGGGAGATAGGGGGTAGCGCTATCGCTGTGTCGGTGAGATAGTGAAAGCATCATCGAGGGAGCTCTCGGTGAGGCTGGGAAAGCGACTTCTGGTGGACAGCCTTCCGCACGCAGAGGTCGCAGACGAGAAACTCGCCGCTTCACGAAGCACCTCAGCAGCCTCCATGTAGCTCCGTCGACCCCACACAGCTGCGTTTTCTCGTCAATGATTAAACATAAGGAAATTATGACTGAAAACATCTGGGCGCGGCACACTTCAGAGGAAAAGCTCTCGCTCTGCCGGAGGTCGTACGCATTTTTGCCTTTTGTATTTCCTTGCTGAATGTCGTGGACATTTTGGATTTTTAAAAAATGTTCCGTGTTATTATTTCTTAAATGTCACGGGCCGTTTTGCTCCCGACCCTGCCTTCGGTTAATTTTGTCGGAGTCACATTTGTAAGGTAGCACTTTTCAAGTCGGAAAACAGCTGGGAACATTCAACTACTTGAGGGCGGCTTGCTGAGGAGAATGTGCGCACTGGGCCAGCACCGACTTCGAGTTGCTCTTTAAGTGGGCAGCATTAGCTGGTTGCTAACGCTAGCCAAACCCTATTGAACTATCGTTGGGGAAAATCTGTGAAGGTAGCTCACACCCTCCTCTGAACGTATTTGCGCATTTTTGAATCAGAGCACAGTTTCAACAACCTGGACATCAACACACGAGACATTGGCCCGACGGTAATTGCGGTAAGTCGCTTTGTTTGTGCAACTTACTGCTCCCGTCTGCGGGGCCCCCATTCACCATGCTAGCATTACTGCTAACCGCACCGCAGCGTTGCCCTGGTCCCGTCCTGATGTTGTCCGACTTGAGACTTATGTATTAGTTTTATGTATCTTTTTTTACTGTCAAAGTGTAATGTCAAAGCCTGAGCCGGATGCTTACGGTGCAATGAGTGTTGTCTACATTTTTCTAAAATGTTGCCCCAAAACAACTGTGGCGTTTAGGATGTGTTACAGCATTTTTTTATGGTGGGTTTTTACATCAACAGCTGTGTGTGTCTGCTTCTTAGCTATTTCGCAGTATCGTGTCTTTGTTATTTCCAGCCATCAATGTAACAAACCGAACGTATTTGTATACGTTTTAAAGCTGCAAGTACATTTAATATAATTGCTTGTAGGAGCCGTTGATATAATAGCCGTATTGCAAAAGCAGTGGGTCTTGGCGAAGCACCTTCAGCGCTTCTGTGGATGGAGGAGGGGGGGATGGGGGGGATTAGTGTGCAGTACTCTCGACACAATCGGCGTTTTCGTTTTCTCACGATCTCACTAATCAGCTTACTATCCGCACTTAACTCAAGTGTTAAGAGTGGAGATAGAACTGGATGTTTATCATTTGGTTTCATTAGTTTAATCACCGCAGATCCGTCCAGGCTCCTTCCCCCTCAGGGAAGTGCTGTCAGGAGATCCAACCCAGAAAAACAAACTATAAATAAAGGAAGGAATAAATAAATAAAACCTTAAGGAAACCGAACACTGTGCAGATGAAAATGAAGGAAGGACTGTGCTCTTCCTATTTCGCTTCCTGGCTTACAGGTGTCTTACGAATTAAAAATGCAGATGTTTACATGGTTAATGAAAGCCATTGGCCTGCAAACTTAAAAATAGTCTGCGCCGACTGTCTTACTACTTGAACTGCTGCTGAACCAGCCATAGAAACTTGACAGGTGGTGTTGCCAGAAAGTGTGTGTTTGCCTGTAGATCAATTAATTGTTCTCAATATGGATTGTTACAGAGAAGGCCAGTGGGCCTTAATCTCATAAAATACAGCCTCGAATTTATTACATACTTCACTTTCTCCTAGCTAGTTGCGTCTGAGGAACAATGCTTATTTTGTGGGGCCCATGGGTCTTTAAAGATGGTTGTCACATAGTTCAGCTGATACCATATCTGATTAGCCTTCAAAGTCGGTTTCTGCTGTAATAAAATTTCAAACAAAGCTCCACAACCCATCAGCTGCTATTTGTTCTGTTTTTTCCATCAGCCTTCTTTCTACTGTGAAGCGAGTTCAATATAGCCAGGATTTGTTGGATGTTTTGGCACAGCTTCAGTCTCTACACAAAACCAACATGTAATACAACAGTGGGCTGTTTCTTTGTTAACCCATGCACTCTGCGGGCTCCCACTAAATGGTTGTCGTTTGAGGCTCCTTTCAGACAAAATTTGGTAACATCACAGATGACTAATGGAAACATCAGGTTATATGAAAGTTGGTTTGAAAAGAATTACAGGATGAAGTTATGACAGTGCTCTATCATGACCCCAAAACAGAAAACTGCTAAACATGTAACCGGGTATTTGGAAATTCTGCACGTTTCTGACCATATTGAGCAATTTATCTCCAAGTTCAGCATCAGTTTAAGCATTTCACTAGTTTCAGAGAATTTAATCAGATTCTCTGAACTGAAGCTGCTCCAGAGCCGGTTTTGAATTTAGCCCTAAAACACTCTTGTGATCGAGCCGAGTGAAAATAAAGCAACCTTTGTGACACTGAAAACTTCCAGCTGAACATACCTCCCAAAGCCACTAATCTCTCTTCATTTTACACCCTCTGTAAGTGATTCAATGGAAGATCGGAAATGGATGTTTAAGATGACATTGGTTGATGGTATGCACTGTTTATCGCCATTGTCTCAGGCATTCCTCTTGTTTCTTTTAAGCCACAGTTATCAGAGCAAATACTTGAGTGGCTCAAACTAAATGACTAACAAGTGATTCCTTTTTAGGAATCACCTAAAAGCGTCACTGGACGCTTTCGATACGTCCAATGACGTATGGAAAGCCAATGCTGGTTGTCGACTTTCTTTAAAACTCCTCATATGATCATTCACAACAAACCTTATCTGGAGCGGAAGATAAGATCGCCACTTATAAAAGGCTTCCTACTATGCTGCTTATTTTCTCACAGTAGTATTGTTACACTCACCCAGCTGTTGGTTCTGCCTCTTGAAGTGTAAAATGAATCAGTGTTAAGAAAAAATCAGTAAAGCAATGCTACTTATCTTTATTATACAATAGAAAAGGCTAATAAGGCTGAATAGTACTAATTTCTAGATTTTTTTGTGAATTATTTTTCACTGTACGTCTAACTTTGATACATATCTTAGACTTTAAAGTCTATTTTTGCATTTAACAGCTATTATTTCTGATTTCTAAATGGGTTATGTTTGCTCTAAGCTTCCTGAAATGTCATCTTTACTACTTTAGGGATGTAGTTCCTGTTGAAACAGAAACTGTGAATTGGTAAATATCAGGTGATTCATGGACTTTTGTTGACCCCCATATGATGTCGAGCTCCTGTTAATTTTTACATAATTACATTTACTTCTCTGTGTGACCAACCAAGTGCTCATTTCCTCTTTGGTAATAATAATCATTGGTCAGGTTAATATTTTAGGAAGGTGAATATGCTTTTTTTAAATGTCACATGTTCAGTGACTCAACACTTGTGATGCGTTTGATGGTTACTCATCATAGTAAACCCATACTGTATTGTTGAAATATGACACATTGTGGTCTGTGACAGACTCGAGTGATGAGCTGAAGTTCCCTCATAATCATATTCCGTTTGCACAAGCTAATTTAGAATGGGGGGGGGGGTCTATAATTGCAGTATAGTTCACAGAACACTGAAAGTAAATGCAACATTACTGCAAGTAGTAAAAGATTTAAAAGGCAAAGCAATGTTTAAAAACTGCGTGAGACGACCTTGCATCATTGTTCTTCATGCATGCTAAAGTATTTAATAAACTTGCGCTCTCAGCTTCCTTTTCTTTCATTATATTGCGGTATTTGATGGTTGGCTTAGCTTAGCTTAGTGGAGCGTTGGTATTAACTGTTGCTTTTTCATTGAAAAGACTGTTGCTAACTGAATAAGCAACAGTTTTAGAGTGGTTGTCAAAAGGGTGCGTGTTGTCAGTCGGAAATGATCATTCAAAGTTCTTTTACATGAAGACGCTCTTCAGAAGCCTCCCCGTGGCCCTTAGAAATGGCATCACTCCAGTTGATAGGCAGAGGTTAAACCCCAGCCATGTATCTTCTGGGATTAATGGAACTTCTCATATGTGGTCACATAGTTTCTTTTTCAGATGTCGATGACATCGAGATATATCCTATCGTAGTTTTTCTGTCACATCTATCCTAGTTTGGCTCCAATTCAGAACCACAATTGGTATTTTCATCACTTACCAAACATCCTAGGTGTTAATGTCAGCATAGCATGGAGGGCATTTCAAATGTGGTCATGTGAAAAGTAAGATCATGAGCTTTAGTCAGCAACATGAGGATAACTAGTCATGGTCAAACCAACGTGTGATGACCCTGCTCTGGTTTTTTATTCATTTATGTTGTCTTTTCTAAAGGGACATTTTACCAGCACTGCAGAAATTAATTGTAAGTGTTCACGTGTCTGTGATTACTTTGGAATAACTTGCAAAAGTTATGGCACGGTGGTGTTTATCTGATCATTAAAGCTGGTCGCTACAGCTCACAAGAACAAGAGATGCTTTTTTCAGAGGGGGGACGTCCTGAACTGTCCTGCTTTTTTCTCACGCCAAGAAAAAAAAATACTAACCCTAATTTAAAATGTGATTATTCTAAACATATCAAGTGCTTGGGAGAGGATTGAATAATTTCCCATAAATGAGCCGGTCAGACGTTGTGTTTCAGAGCATAACTTTGTTCGTGC